GGAGGAGGCTGAGGGGCTCTGGCGGGGCAGGTGGCAGGGACTCCCTCAGCCCAGCAGCTCCTCTTTCTTAGGGGCGAATGCCCTAGGCCTGTGCAGCCCCCCTCCCTGGGCCACGCCTGTTTCTGCATCTGCAGAAACGGAGACCATGTCCTGCCCCGCCTCCCTCTGGGAGCAGCCATCCCCAGGCCCGGCCAGCACCTCCGAGCCTGGCCCAGAGCCACACACACCTGCTACGGGGGCGCCCAGGCCGTAGGCACAACCGGAAGAGAGGGTCGGGGAGCCCTCATCGAGGGGAGCCTAAGGAGCCCCAGCCCTAAGCTCAGAGCCTGGACTCAGACCTCCGGACAGGACTTCCGTGCGGGCTGAGGACGGTGGGCCGCAGTGCCCTGAGTCAAAGCCAGGAGGCCGAGCGGCCCGGGGCGCTGCCATCCCTCCTCTACCCGGGCCCTGAGTCCCAATCAGGTGTTAAAACGAAAAACAGAGTAATAGAGAGAAAGACTGCCTTTGGCAGACTCCATAGTAGACAACACAAGGAAAGACGCATGAGTTTGAAGAAAACACGTACACAAATTGAAATGCACAGAGAAAAAAATAGTGGGGAAAATTCTATAATTAGCAAAATAGCCTTCAGAAATAAGGAGAAATAGTTTTATAGAATAATTTCATAGAAAACTCGAAGATAGGTGAATTGAGATTATCTGGTCTTAAAACAACAAAGAAGAAAAAGAGAAATGAACACAGCCTCAGACCTGTGGGGATCACACAGTGGGGATCCCAGAAGAAAAGAGGGGAAAAGTTCCCAAACTGGGAGAAACACGTGAAGCTACATGTCCAAGGAGCTCAGGGAACTCCCGGTGGGGTAAACTCTCGGGGATCCCCGCCCAGACCTAGCACAGCAAAGCCATCGCAACAGATGCACGGGAGGCACTGGGCACAATTCAGCATCAATTCCTAAGAAAAACTTGAACAAACGGGGAACATAAAGGAACTTCCTTAACTGAATGAAACACATTTACAAAAACCTCTAGCTGACATTAGAGTGGATGGTGAGAGCGCCATGCTTTCCCCTGAGATTAGAAGCAAGGCCAGCATGTCCTCCTCCCTCGTGTGTATCATCACGCTGAAGGTCCTAGCCAGTGCGATAAGGCAAGAAAAAATAAAAACGGGAAGGAACAAATAAAACTGTCTTTGTCTGCGAAAGAGGTGGTCACCGACATGGGAAATTCCAAAGAACCCACCAAAAACACTTGAGTTACACATGCAAACGCTAATCATCTGCCTCTGCACCCACAGCGGACAGCTGGGATGTGACTGCTATTTATAGTAACCCCTCCCCCAGTGAAGTACTTGGGTATAAATCTAACAAACTGTGTACGAAATCTCTGTGATGAAAAAATGGGAGCGTGGGTGAAAGAAATCAAAGACTTAAATAAATGGAGAGGGGAATGGTTTGCGTGAATCACGAGACCCAACGTTCTAAAAATATCACTCTCCCTTCTTTCATCTGTAAATTCTCTACAGTCGCAACAAAAAGCTCAGCAAGATTTATATATGTCATGTTAACTGAAAGCGGATGGATGGATGGATGGATGGATGGATGGATGTATGTGAGAAAAGGTCACCGGGGTCAAGGTCCCCCTTGGTGCTAGGCCCCCGGGGCTTTCTGCCCTGGTGACCGCCCGTACTTGGCCGATCCACTTGTCCTGCTCAGGTCTGTCTAACGCCTACCACACACCTCCTGAGGATCTGTGGCTGGTCATGCGGTTTAGACCCCCTGACCTTCCCTTCCTTCAGATAACGTTCAGGCCTCGGTTGCATTTCAGCTCCAGGCCCAGATAGGCTAAGCCATGCCTGACCTCACACCAGCTGCCTTGAGTAATGACCCCTGCCCTGACGCCAACCAATCCACAGTGGAGACCTGGTCCCTGAAAGGAATCACCTGCTGAATATTCTGTTGAGATCTTCCCCTGGGAGCCCCCCTAAAACCTCCACCCTTAAAACCCCTAGGGTCCGGACAGCATGGCTCAGTGGTTGAGCGTCGACCTATGAACCAGGAGGTCAGGGTTAGATCCCTGGTCAGGGCATATGCCTGGGTTGTGGGCACATGCCCAGTGTGGGATGTGCAGGAGACAGCTGATCAATGATTCATCATTTACATTTCTATCTCCCTCTCCCTCTCCCTTCCTCTCTGAAATCAATAAAATAATATATATTTTTAAAAACCTCCCTGCATATCCCACGGACACAACGCCCCTCCTCAAGCCTTCTCTTCCTGCTCCCGTGCTCCGCCTCCATGCTGGCACCCAACATCCGTTGCCATCTTAGCTCTCCCTCACCCCATCCCCACACCCCACACCCATTCCTCACCAACCTACCTCCCAGCCCTGTCAGCACTGCTGCCATCTCCCTAGTCCAAGCCAGGCCCCTGGGAGGTGCTCAGTGAGTGTGTGGAGTGAATGGGTGGGTGGATGGGTAGGTGAATGGATGGATGGACGGATGGATAGGTCAATAGGTAAGTGGATGGATGAGTAGATGGATGGTGGATGGATGAGTCAATGGTTAGATGGGTGGGTGGATGGATGGATGGATGGATGGATAGGTAGATGGATGTATAGGTGGATGGATGGATGGATAGGTGGATGATGGATGGATGGATGGATGGATGGATGGATGGATGGATGGATGGATGGATGGATGGATGGATGGATGGATGGATGGATGGATGGATGGATGGATGGATGGATGGATGGATGGATGGATGGATGGATGGATGGATGGATGGATGGATGGATGGATGGATGGATGGATGTGGATGGATGGATGGTGGATGGTGGATGGATGGATGGATGGATGGATGGATGGGTGGTGCATGATGGATGGATGGATAGGTGGACAGTGGATGGATGCATGGATGGATGGGTGGATGGTAGATGGATAGGTCAATGGGTAGGTGAGTGGATGGGTGTATTGATGACTCGGTGGATGATTAAAAGTGGCAGGATTTTTGCAACTTAGGGAGCTTTGAGCCTGGAGTCACTATACCTGCCAGTGCTTTTCTTGGGCAACACCTGGACCCCTAGGTTGTCAAGAGTGGGGTCGCACATGCTAATACCCGGAAGGTATTTGAACACAACAGGGCACAGAACTGCCCCTGCCAACCACCTCTGAGACCCCCCACCCCCAGGGAGCTGGAGCGAGCAGAAGGGCACCCGTCGCTGACCGTGCAAGGAAGGTCCCAGGACCCAGGACCCACGGGAGGACGCTGCCCCTGCCGCACGTGCCCCCCAACGGCACAGACACAGGAAGAGGTGCCGCGCGGACTTCTCTCTTTTTACAAAGACTTTATTGTCTGACATGCTTGACAAAAAAATTACAGCCACAATCAAGTTATGCCGAAATGGTTGAGGAGCACGCATCAGCTCTCGTAGCTCAAGGACTTTTAATGCATTTTCTCTTAAAGTAACAGCTGCCTTCGTAACGTCTTCTCCACATAAAAATACACCCTATTCTGAAGATACCTTAGGAAAATTTTTTTTAAGTTTATAGATCTTGGTCCACATAGAAATGCAGTAGAGGCGACTGAAAGGGCCTTGTGTTTTCTCCCCCCACCCACACCCCAACTCCGCACACACGCCATGCGTCTGGGGCACCCCCGGGACCTCGTGAACTCCCCAGCCGCCAGGAACCACTTGGGCCAAACAGGGCTCCTAAAGCCCTGCCCCAAAGCGCGAAGCTGACCTGGGCCAGTGCGGTGTGGCCGCAGCCCCGACGGTGCCCGAGCCCCACAGGGAGCCTCTCCCGCGTAGGAAGGAATCCGGGTCTTGGGGATGCCAGGGTGCGGGGACAGCACCCTCAGGGCTCCGGGGGCACCCTCAGGGCTCCGGGGGCACCCTCAGGGCTGCGGGGCGCCATGAGAAATGAACCAGACAGGTCTGAACGGGACCGTAAGTTTCCAAAAACAAGAACCTTGGGCACGCATTGCCTTGCAGGGCGGAGTGGGGGGGGGGGGGGGGGGAGGGGTGAGGGGGGGGGGGGGGGGGGGGGGGGAGCAAGGTTCAGATCCTGCCTCTGCCCCTTTTGAGCTGTGCAGCCCCAGGCAAGTTACCTCGCCTCTCTGGGCTCTATCTCTTAATCTCTAAAATGGGGCCAACAGTACCCACCTTGCAGGCTTGACTGAGATGTAACAGCAAAGGGCTCATCACATGCTGGTTCCTGGGCTGGGACTGGGGGAGGCGAGTCGGCCCCTCCTCGCGGGTGCACAATTTAAGGGGTTACCCAAAACCTCAGTGAGGACGCTAATGGATACTATTTTAATGCAATATTTTTAAAAATCAAAGTCGATGCAAAAACATCCATGATGAACAAACAGCCAAATTATAAATGAAGACAGACCTGAGGCTGCGCGTGCCCACCCTGCCTCCCTCGCCACCCCCCGCCAGGCCCTGCCGGCTGCCCCTCCCTCAGAGATTCAGCCCAAGGCCCGCCCCCCAAGTCCTGATTTTTAAAAAGAAAAGGGAGACCCCTGTGCCCGGGGCCTGTGCTGTCACGGTGCCACCTCCCGTTATGGGCCAGCTGGCGCTGGGACGAGGTCCATGACCCACTCGGCCATCCTCCGCGGTGGGCGTGCCGGGTGGAATCCTACCAGCATGAGGGAAACCCGGGGGGCCGGGGGGGGGGATTCGAGGACGGCAATGAGAAGCATGGGATCCGCTCGTTAAATTAAGGGGTGTGCATGTGCGTGCATGCGTGTGCACGGTGCACGCCAGCCTGAGCACATGCGTGGCAGGGTGGCCTCGGCCTGTGGGCCCTCCAGGCTGCCGAGTTCTGCAGACCAGCGTAGCCCCCGCGGGACCAGGCCTTGTCCATGGCTTGGCAGCCCTGCAGCCGTCCCGGGCTCGTTCTATAGAACCAACCCCCCAATCATCCAGGCTCCGAGCCAGTGAGCGTCAGCAAAGACGCCCACAGGAGCAAAGGGGAGCCACGCGGGCCACGGTGTGCCGGCCTCCGGGGCAGTTGCGTTCCTGAGACGTCGCGGACACTCCCCGGGCGCTGCGCAGCAGGGCGCCTCCTCTGCAGCCTGGGAGCAGAGGAGGGCTGCTCGTCCAGATATACAACCTCCCACCCACCCAGCCCCGGGGCTGGCAGCCACGCGGACCCTTGGCTAGAGGGAGGCTTTGTGCAAGAACTTCCACAATCCGTCCAGAACGGTAGCGTCCCACCCCCATGAAGGCGACCGGCGGCGAAGGATGAAGCGCAGGCCCTTCCCCCGCACAACAGGCCACCGCTGGTCGGTCCTTCACCGAGGTACACGGAATGTCCACGCGGAAACAGCAATGAACACAGAACCCCGAAGACCCAAGGGTCCCGATTCCAAGTGACAGAGGCTGGAGGTCAGGGGTGAGGTGCTTCATTCCAAGGCCTCAGTGCACCTGCGGGGCTGGTCCCCGCGGCCAGACGGGTTGTCTGCATGGAAGGGGGCGGCGGGGGTCCGTGCTCTCAGCCAGGCACACGCAGCTGCTGCGGGTGGGAGGGCCGCGCCAGCAGGGGCAGTCAGGAGTTCCGGGGCGTGGGCAGGTCGATGACGATGGGTGGGTTCACGGGCTGGTAGTTCACGGTGCACACGGACGCATTCACATAGGTGGTGGTCCCATCCGCCATGACACCGTACCCTGGAAAGTAAGCACACACCTGTCAAGCCTGAGGGGCAGGGCCAGGACCGGGAGCAGTAAGCGCCGTCTGGTGGGGGCAGGAGTCAGGGCACTCGCCACCATGGGCTGAGTCTGTCTGGGGCAAACTACTGAAACTCTCAACTGAGTCTCTTCATCTATAAATACAGGTGACAATGACAGATGCTCTTCCCAAGGCTGCTGTGAGGATCGAATGAGATAATCCACATACGGTGTTCAGCTCAGAGCCTGGAAAGCACACAGTGAGACATCAGCATTGACATCATCACCACCACCACCATCGCCATCACCATCTCCACCCATCACCACCATCACCATCATCACCACTATCACCATCATCATCACCACCATCACCATCATCATCACCATCACCATCATCATCACCACCATCACCACCACCACCATCGCCATCACCATCTCCACCCATCACCACCATCACCATCATCACCACTATCACCATCATCATCACCACCATCACCATCATCACCATCACCAATCTCATCACCACCATCCCCATCACCATCATCATCACCATCATCATCACCACCATCACCACCACCACCATCGCCATCACCATCTCCACCCATCACCACTATCACCATCATCACCACTATCACCATCATCATCACCACCATCACCATCATCATCACCAATCTCATCATCACTACCATCACCATCACCACCATCACCATCATCACTATCATCACCATCATCATCACCACCACCGCCATCACCATCACCATCACCACTATCACCATCATCATCACCACCATCACCATCATCATCACCACCATCACCATCATCATCACCACCATCACCATCATCATCACCACCATCACCATCATCATCACCACCATCACCATCATCATCACCACCATCACCATCATCATCACCACCATCACCATCATCATCACCACCATCACCATCATCATCACCACCATCACCATCATCATCACCACCATCACCATCATCATCACCACCATCACCATCATCATCACCACCATCACCATCATCATCACCACCATCACCATCATCATCACCACCATCACCATCATCATCACCACCATCACCATCATCATCACCACCATCACCATCATCATCACCACCATCACCATCATCATCACCACCATCACCATCATCATCACCACCATCACCATCATCATCACCACCATCACCATCATCATCACCACCATCACCATCATCATCACCACCATCACCATCATCATCACCACCCATCACCATCATCACCACCACCATCACTATCACCACCACCATCACCATCACCATCATCACCATACACCAATGGGCCATCTTCCTCTCCCAGAGAAATCAGGGAGGAGGTCGCTAGGTTGCAGGGAGGCGAGATGGCCGTTCTAAAGAGCCAGTGAGGAGCGCCTGGTATGTGCGGTCCTCTCCCCGCCCCACATGCTGACCTTCATGGATGTGGCCGAAGACGTGCAGCCGCGGCTGGACGCGCCTCTGCACCGTGTTGAGCAGCTCCACGCAGCCCACCCGCTGCATCTTCTTGGGGACCCAGTCCAGGAAGCCTGTGCCGGGGAGAGAGCAGGAGGGCAGTGAGTCGTTCGCTCACCGCAGACCCCAGCTGCAGCCTTTGCCACCTCAGAGACTGCGGCTTCTGGACTCACAGGCCTGGGCATAGCTCCCCGCACCCAGCACGCTCTCCCCAGCCAGGCCCCGCCCCTGCTGGCCACCCACAGAGCCACGCTTCCAAGAGCCAGAGCGGGCAGGTGGGGTGGGAGTGCTGGAACACGGGGAGCCCCTGGCCATTCGTGCTCAAAGTGGCCTCCAGGGTGGCAACCACCCGCGGCAGAGACCAGCAAACTGAAGCCTGAGGGGACAGGGGAGACCAGGGCTCCCCCGTGCCAGCCGCGGCGAGGAACCGGGAGCAAGACTTCCACGTCGAAAACTTTCTAAACAAACATCACAAAAGCATGAAAATGAACGGCATTCCATGCAGCGTGGCTCCCACGGCGCCTGGGTCTGCCGGCGCCAGCCTCCCGGAGCGGCCCATATGGCAGCTGCTTGTTATCCTCACATGGCTACACAAACAAAGACGAGCTGATTGCTCCAGACGGCACCTCGGCCCATCCCGGGCCCTCTGTTTGGGTGGGCACAACGGGTTTTCACAACTGCTGGGGGGTGGGGGGGGCGACACGGTCCCTCGACTCAAAGAATCAGGCAGGCGGCAACACACGTTGACTTGAAGATGAGAGAGAGAGAGAGAGGGAGAGAGACTGAGGCAGCGAGAGAAGAAAGGAGGGGGAGGAGGAGGGAAGGGGAGGAGGGAGAGGAGAGAAGAGGCGGGAAGTGGGCAGGGAGTAGGCTTGGGGCAGACGCCTGGGTTTTAGGTCCCGGGACCTGCGACCCACTGGCCGTGTGACCTTGGGTAAGTCATGTGCCCGCTCTGTGCCTCGGTTTCATTCAGCGACGCATCCACCAGCGGCCGGGCTGGGCACACGGGCGTTCCCACAACAGGAGCTGTGTGCTGTGTGTGAAGGGGGTGTGGGGAGGCAGCTGGGGAGCAGGACCCCCAAAGATACTGTTTGGACAGACGGACTGAGGGATGGAAAGGAGGGAGGCTGGGGCTGGGGCTGGGGTTGG